TGTCATTCCTATCAAGCTCTAACGACCTACTATTTTCTTTCTCCTCCGTCGACACAGTCGAGGAAGCCGTGTTTGCGTAAGTTCGCCCGCTTTCATTCTCTTTGGATGAATAGCGAGGGAGATTCCTCAGCTTCTCCATCTCCACTTTAAGGCCCTTTATCTCCCTCTCCATTTCTGCAAATTTTTGAAGGAGTCCGAAACATGTCGTACAGGCTTCGTCTTCGTATTTAATATCCATACAACTTACTAGGCTCCTTGCTCGTTTAGCGGGAGGTGACTTAACAGCGATATATAAAGAGTTGCAGTCATTTGTACTACGAATAATGTTTACTCCTTTATTTATTTCAGTCCGTTCGCCGTGCCCCGATAGTGTAGTGGCGATCATGCTGCTCACCGCACGACGGGACCTGGGTTCGAATCCCACTTGGGGCGAGTTTATTGCACATTGTCCTGACGGTGTTTTGTCGACTCCCATTATTAATTCGAAGGATATGCCAGGTATTCTAGGTACGGCACGAAGTATTTAAAGGTGTATGAGAAGCTGTTTAACCAAGCCAACAATATGAAGCAAATAGCAAACGACTCAGCCGCTCTTGGATCAGGAGAGTCCCGGGGTGCTGTTGGTAGAGAATTGATAGGAAGGAGTATGGTCGTTCCAAAGAAAGTTCTGTCGGAGTTCCGTGTGGATCGTTAGAGGAATTGCTGATTAAGCTTCAATTTCTTAATCCAAATGGGCCCGCGATGCGTCCAGTAGGCAGAAATCCCAGAAAAGGCAAATCCCTCGGAGGTCGAAAATTCGAAACCGAATTCGAAAGGCGCGCCTCTTCAAATTATTTTGCAAAAGTGAATCTAGAGCAACACTTTTAAGTGGATTACAGTTTTCTGTCGTGCAGGCTGCAAAAAGTAATTCTTTGTCCTACAGCAGCACAAAGGGTAAGTGTAGAAAGCGACGTCCGACAGGGTTCGGTCTAAGGTCCTTTTTTCCCTCATCTTACTAAACGACTGTACTGAGGATTTTGACTCTCTTGCAGTCATGATTTGTAGGTGACATAAAAATCGGAAAAACAACAAGCTATACTGACGATGCGCGCATACTGTAAGGAAACTTTGATTCGCTGACTGTGTGTTCTAGCGAGTAACTCCTAGCTTTTGATATATCCAACTGTTTGGTCTTGCGCTTGGGAGCTGGTAGGGGACATTTGCCAGCGTAACAGCCCAATAGAAATGTGATCTCAAAAATATGCTTAAAGGAATCCTCGACACAGTCTTTAAAATAAATAATGAAAATAAAATAATTTTATAAAAGTCCCATCGGCCTCGCACCAAAGCTTTGATTCCTTACTCTTTCCTTTTTGTAGATGGCTTTGATTTCTACCGTCAAGGACGCCCACACGGCAGGTGAGTGTTTTCCCTCTTTATCTTAAATTTTATCTAAAGCCCTCTCCCTATTGCCTGGATGCCTCCTAATTCTCAGGAAATTTCTGCTTTGCATCAGAAATCGTTTCATCATACATAGCCTCATCCATAAATGCTCGAAGTTTCGGCAGTTATCATGCCTTTAAATTTTTGGACTAGAATGTTGTTTTGCTTTTCCGACATGAAACCTCAGGCAAACCTTCGTCGAAATTTTTGGACTAGAATGTTGTTTTGCTTTTCCGACATGAAACTAGAATGGACTAGACATGGACTACAATGTTGTTTTGCTTTTCCGACATGAAACCTCAGGCAAGCCTTCGTCGAAAGTTAAAAAACCGCGCCGTTTGAATTCGACTGGAATTTACTCGTCTTCCCAAGTTTTGACATTTCGATCACCCGTTTCCACCCAGAGTTACGCCTTGTCGAAATAAATCGAGTAATCAGTTTATAAGTGCAAGTAATCTCCGCTTTCACGGATCCCATTATCGGCGATATCTTCATCCTTCACCGTGGCTCTCAGGAATCCACAATCCGGAGTTTAACAAGGCATCCAGTCGGTTGAGTTCAGATTCCTACGAATACCGTCTCCATCGTGCTTCCGAAGCTAATATTCCGTCGACGAAGTGCTCGATAACCGACAGAAATCGAAGACTACTTAGAACCTGTCTGCGAAGGCTGAGTCGTTCTTTGCTCCAAATTGCCATTTTATACTGAATTCCGTTTGAAAAAAAGCTTATCTTTGTGCTCAGTAAAGTAGCCACTTAGCAATTGAAGCCGCCCATTATAAATTAATGCAACCTCAAAGATATCTTGCCAGCATGGGGAAT